AGAGGATGACAATTTCATAAGAAATTGGGAATTTCAGATCAGCACAATGCCTTTAGGTTGGCCTTCTACTAGTGTGGAGGGGAGGGGGGAGGAATCACAATTTAAGCACTCTTAAGTTGATCAGAAGCTATGCAATGCTCTCCTTTTATGAGGCTTGAGTTTTACTATCCTTGACATATACCAATTCCCCAAAATTTCATCATATCCAAAAGTCATATGCTGCAAAGAAGTTATTAAACACTGACATTAAGACCCTAAATTTGCTAAAAAGCCCATCTAACACTCAAGACCTAACATCCAGTTTTATGTCTCTGAAGTGAAGCATTATGAAGATCACTCCTCAACAAAATTACTATGATGTGGTTTTTAATTACAGGAAGGAAAAAAAGTTATTTTAATTTTATTGCTGCTCCCTGCGAAATGTGAAAAACCGCAACTGAAAACTCCCTCCGAAGTTTATCAGGCAAATAGGTAAAACATTTTGACTCAAGTGATTTCAAGTCAGCCTAAGTGAAAAACACCAAAAGTAGGCTTTTAGTACTGCTTATTAAAGAAATCAACACCTATTGTACACACAATTTGTAATTTTCATATTATGATATTGCCAAAATAAAACTACCAACCAACTCCAGCTGACAGCTCCACAAGTAGTGACTAGCAGGCTAAAACCACCTGATGAAACACCAGAAGTGACAGCACTTCTGGATTTCACAAAAGATGCAGCAGGAGCTCTTGTGACTCTCCACCCTTATTCTGAACCATCAAATCTTTTTTCTCAAACTCTCTTCTCCCCTACTCCCCATTCTTAAATTTTAGCCAGCTTGGTGCCCTTAAATATTGGTGGAGTTGCTTTTCAGCATTTCTTACAGGGAAAGCAAAACCTAGCACTCTTGATTACATTCTTTTGTGGTTATGCTTTCCTTCACTATCTCAGGAAACCATCTGTAAAGCAGACAATACTTTCCAATACTACTGGATGTTAGAAAGCTTAGCTGATCATCCTCACACGGCTTGCTAAAGGTTCTTGGATGAAAGGTGCTATATATGAAGATTATTATCTGTACAACTGCCTACACAGCACTTAAAAGTAACAAGCACCAAACTGCTACTGATGGGAAAGAAGAATATTAAAAACAGTACTCCTCATCCACTATATACAGCCAAAGCAGAAGAGAAAATATTTCCTTTTTTCTTTTTTCCTTTCTGTCCAGTACAGATTTAAAAGTGCACTTTGTTTTTTAAAGGTCACTCTTAAATGTCCAAAACTAACAGAACTAAGTGTTTCAGTTCAGGTGACATCACTCTGCAAGTCATCAAATTCTCCTTCCTCCCTGGTGTCCATTGTGAAAGATTTGTAATTTGTTCCTGCTTTTCCTCTGTTCTTCATTAAAAGGATATGCAGAAAAAGAAAGAAGGGTTATTTGCAATGACTCTCATAGTCACTATCACCTCCTCAAAGCGAACTAACAGGAGAGTTGGGAGGGATGTGACCAAGCTGGCCATCTCTGAAACACAGGACTTCACTGTTTAAAGGATTTTTATATGGAAAAGCCACTCATGCTTAAAATCTCACTTGGTGTGTATCCCCACAACTGCCACCATTTTGGCACAACAAAGCCACGTGTAGTTACATCACACAGATCCATGTGCAAAGCATAAAGCCACATTCGACAGGCGTGCTCTATCCATGCAAGAGACAGCAGCCACAGCTATTTTTATTCAACGTCCAGTGAGAAAAGGTGGTGCAACACAGTACAGAATGGGACCCCAGGTGCTCACTGCCCAGAGCACTTACACAGGGCACGCCAGGCTCAGGTTCTGGGCTCTCTGCCTGTGGACAGACTGACCCTCTGCCTGTGGACAGACTGACCCTATGGCACACTGCCACAGGGCACGCTCTGCCCCTCACTGAAGCTGTGACACTCTGGAGAACTGTAATCATTTGCAAAAATGTCCCAGTGAAATAGAGGGGAGGGAAAAAGCTCATGGAAAAGGGGGAGGGAAACAAACACCAGGTGCTGTTACTAGAGAATTCACCTAGGACAACAACAATCTCAACAGTCTTAGTTCTGGCTTGTGTTCCCAAGATCACTCTACCCATCCCTACAAGTCTTGTCTGTGGAGCTGCCCATTTTAAGACAATTAAGCATCAAGAATACCTTCTTCTGCTCTTCATAGCAAGGTCTGGAATTCTACACTACTGTCAGAAATTAAGCATCGTTAAGCTGATGCAGTTACTAGTACGCCACTAATTACTGTTTGGCAGTGTTGCAAAATTCCAAATCTCGCTGAAGAAAGAAAATTAAAAACATTGCTCTTAATCACTGCTTTAAACACATTCCACATCAACAAGTAGCTTACTAAGCATTCAGATCCCAAATCTGACCCTTCTCTGCTTACATAAGAATTTATGGGCACAGGTAATACAGGAATTTACCACACAACAGCAACTGAAAGAAGTGACTCTATGAAGCAGTCCCAGTATATCTTCCACAAATTAAAGAATGACTATGCACTTGGAAGCACGTCAGTAAACAGCCCTGATAGCCTTTGACAGTAGTCACTTATGTCACAGAGGCCAAAAACCTTCTTGCAGTCCTGTACCTGGCAAGGAAAAGTGCTGTTTATCACCAGATGCCTTGGATGATTCCAGAAATAGCCTCTTTCCCATTGCTGTTCATTAGCAGCAGCTCTAAGAATTGAAACAGATTTTTTTTTTCCTGAGAAAAACTTCTACAGGATGTTCTAGAAAGCTTTAACTGCTCCTTTAGGAAACAAACTCAGCACCCCAACTGTTATCCACACAGACTGCCTAGCCCTATTCCACATAGGAATGCATTTGTTTCATCTCTGAAAGCCCTGATAACAAGAACTGAAAGTCTGCCAGCCACCTCAAGGCACAGATGTTCACATGTTACAGTAACTCAATTTCAGTTCTACATATTTCACCCAACTCACACAGGGCAGATTTTTCACTTTTTCATTCTAGAAAGATAAGTGGTAAAAGGAAAAAACTGAACCCTTAATAAAACCAACACTTTCAGACTTCAAATGAGGTTTAAATACACAGCAATTGCTTTATAAAATAATCACAGATTAAGAATGCAGAGACAAGTACAGGTCCATTAGTTTTGGACCTTACAAATAAGCAATGATTTTTAAAATCCACACAGCTTTCTTTGTTTCAAAAATATGCTTTCTAGGGCATTGTCTAGGCATACATAAAATAAATGGTAAGAATACATTTTTACTTAGTCTGCTATGGAGAAACCACTGTGAAAAAGGAGAAACTACTTTAGTGATGATTCCCTAACTAGCTACAGAAATGAAAGTTTGGTCCAACTGAAAATACTATCCTTCATTCATAAGGAAAACTCCCAGTCTTTAGAAGCAACTTACATCTATGGAAAATGCTGACCTGTTGATCAGAACTGCAAAATTTTAAACTATTATCTCAGTAAGTATTTACAGGTAGTTCTACATTATCATATCTATACTGTAGAGACAAAAAAAAAAAAAAAAAAAAAGAAAAAAGGAGGACCATGCATTGACCTTGTCTCTATAAATACAACTTTAAAGAAAGCCCCAACCTGCATTAAACTGTTCTCTGCAAATACTGTAAAGACTACAACACAGAATGTGAGAATGTGCACACTTCTATACAACTTTTACCAACTGGAAAAAAATTAGTTCCTTAATTGCAAGGTAAAACCTAACTATTCCTCCATTAATCAGTATTTTAGATTTGCTATGGAACTTCAGAGCTTCAGATGAAGTCCATGGAATTTAATTTTGAAGATCTATGTAAATCCTAGATATAGTCTTCATTAAGGTATGCAGAAACCACGGCAAAATATCTAAGCTCTGGTCCTCAAATCAGGCTGTCAAAATTTAAATTAACTTAGAATGGATAATAGAAGTGGGATGAGTACTCATGATTTATGCACAAAACACAAGAGCGAGCTTAGAACCCAGACCGCTGTAGTGGTGACAGCTAAGGGACTTGGGAGTAGAAGAGAAAAAAATTTGCTCAAAATTATCACACAGTAGGTCGCCCCAGAGAATTCAGAGAAACTAATGATATTTACAAAAAACAAATGTGCTGGTTTTGGAACAACCATATGGCAAGTGATAGAAGCACAGATCATTTCACACTACATGACCATCAAGCAAATACTCAAAAATATACCCTCAAAACTAAGATGGACTTAAATTCCAGTGGTTTGATTTTATCTCACACATCAATGAAAAAATAAATCTTGCAATACATCACAAAATCAAATTCTGAGGATGGAATAATTTGAGGTTAGACTCAATACTGCAGGATGAGAATTTAAGGTGGGTACTTAATACCCGCTGTGAATTAAGATGCAGATTGTCAGCACCATCAATGCACTATTAAATTTTTTTAATTATACCTGAACGTTGTTATTACTTACACAAGCAGCTGTACATTAAACAGTTAGAAGTACAGTAGCATCAATAAAAATCCTTTGTGGCAACACCAGCTAATGAAGTATGAAGAGAACCTTCAAAACTCTCGGACTGCACATCTCTTCATAAGCTGCAGTGTTACAGGAGGACACTGAGGTATATTTTTGCCAGTTGAGTAGCATTCAGTGTTTATTGGCAGTGAAGTCTAATAGCATTACTAAGTTTTAGGAACATGGTAAAAAAGTAAATCATTGTTGCACATCAGTGCAGTCACAGGTAGGAAAACAGATGGATGAGGAAAAGGTAAAAAAAACAGTATGGAACAGTAGCAGCAAGGGAGGAATAAAGAATCTGAAAGGAATACAAAGGTAAACTTGGAGGATTTTCAGTTTATCATTCTGCTCATGTCTGTTGCACTTTTACACCAAGCTTACATACCTTTAAAAATTATTATTTCACTATGAACAACATAAGGAAGCTTAACACGACTAAGATTTTGGGTGCTAGTCATGCTCAGAGAATAAAAAGTAACTTCACAATTCTTAGAAGATTATATGAATAATTACCCATGCCAGTTCCAGCTGGTGCAATCTCTTTGGAGAAGACTTCTACAGCTTCTCTTTGTTTATGGTGTACAGCAAGCCAAATAACAGCTTCCCGAGGTCCCTGCTTCAAAAGGGTTGAAATTAGATTAGCTTAGATGCAGAACATTGGTTAAATTTACAGAAATGAAGAATAATTGTAGCTCAGTATTTGTGTTAAATCATTCGGTGACTTTCTATCCACCATCAATATAATTTGCTATTAGCTTTTCATTATCTTTATTTTGGAATACCATGGAATCAACTATTGGGTATTTCAAGTCTCTAGGGCACTGTGCCTGTTCTCCAGCATTCTCCAAGAATCAAGTACTGTAACTAGCAACACCAAATACTTGGCTTCACTGTCAGTGGAACTGGCAAACAAACTTTGCTCTTATTCTAAGAGCACTGAGAGTACTCTGGGGCCAAGTTAGAGCGCCAGGTTCACTTCTCTTAGCATCAAGAAGGAAGCAGATTTGTCCACAGAAAAGAATTCAAACCTAATCCTTGGGAGATAAATGTGAGAACAGAACTTGTAAAAACCACCATGTTTTCAGAGAGAAGAGCAGATGCTTCCTCTAAAGATAAACCAAATGTGCTCCCTACTCTTGTCAAAACACCTGTCCTTGCAGATGAAGCACTGTCTCTTATTTCAAATTTTACTTCTCCAAAAATTCTATTTTCAGCCACTGAAGGATCTACCATTGGAATCAATACACAAAAAATATACAGCCATACAACAAACCAAACAAATGCACAATTTTAACATTCAGTGTTCCTAAAGCTATCACAGGATTCATTAAATTACTAAAAATAATAACCAACCAGAAACATTCTTGCAAAAAAACACTCATGCATTAACATCTGCTTTCTGGTTCTAAACTGTACCATATAATCAACCGTCCATTTAAAGTTCCATGTTCACCTTCTTGCCTGCAAAGGCAAGATACAATGGTCTATGAAAATCAGCTGAATCCTGTTTTGAGTGGATGAACCCAGTATTAAAACTGGTATATACACAGGCTGAAGCAATTAATCTTACAGTATCAGAATTAAAACAAAAAAAACCCCAGCAAAACAAAGTCTGAACAATGTCCTGGAAATCAATTAACAGCAGAAAACTAACAGAACACATACAGCTTTTATGTAGCAAATTCTAATGCTTAATGTACTGTTGAAAAACAGCTTACAAGAAACACGTCCTGGATGTCCAAACCACAAACTCACTGATGCTGTGTCACTGTCATAACTATTTCCTCCCCAACAGAACAGGGGATACTAAAAATCAAACACCATTAAAATTACTCAGTGCTGATTCAGGTCCCTTTCTAGCTCAGGCTGGGCTGGTGCTGACAAAGTGCTATCAAGAGTGACAGGCAGCAGCCACATAAACAGGCAGAAAACTCTGAGAAAAAGAAGTGCTTGCCACTTTTTCCTATTTCCCAAGGATATTTTGTGTTCTCAGGAACAGTCAGTACTCCACACAGTAGCTCAGCCTACAGGCTTACCTAAGGCTGGGAGACACAGTGAGCCCACAGCTGCAAAGGCTAACCACTGCACCAGTAGGACAGATGTGCATGGGAAGTAGTCCAGCCACACCACACATTAACACTGAGCTCCAAATATTGTTCAACTTTGTCTTGGTATTCACATACATGCCTCTTTGCTTCAAATTTAGGTGGTAGAACTTCCAAAGCAGGAACTATTTTCCTTATGCGTTAATATACCGCCTAGCATAGTATAGCTCTGGTTTTGAGTACTGTGATTTGTAACCCAAATAACCAGGTCTAATTTTGCATGGAAGGACATGGTAAGAGAGTGTTTAAGTGACTACACTATCCCTACCTGAAGCCCCAATGAGTAAATGTTTTCTTGGGATTCCATGACTTCGTATTTTAAATGGAAAAGCAAACTCCACTCCCTAATCCTTTTTCTCAAACTACCACGGCTGCTTTCCAGATGAAAGCTCCCCTGGCTAGTTTCTTCTAAAATGCTGGAGGAAGCATGAAAGGCAATAGAGCGATTTCCTGCATTTCAGCCTTAGCTCTCACATCCTGTTTCAGGCATGGATGAGAAGCACATACAATGGCGATAACACTCTGTTTACTTTTAATATAAGACCTGGGAACTGAGGCTGGAAATACAGAAAGTACTACAGATACTCTCTTTCATTGAAAAAATGTCTTTAATGTACCATAAGCAAGGCAAACTGAACAATCAGGAGGAAGAAACCGCTCTACTTCAACTCGTTGTTCACTTTGTACAAAACTTCCTATATAACAACTCAATTAAAGAATATATTACAATGTGTAATGAGCAGGAGTTGGTACAAGCAGAACAAGTTGAACACCTGGAACATCTGTTCCTCTGTTTCAGAATTTGATTCTGCACTCTTAGTAAGACACTTAAAATTGCAGATTTTATGGTCCTAAAATGAAAGAGACCACATTATAAAGCTCAGTCTTCAAGAAGCAACTTTTGCTGCTTTGCTGAAGAAGCTGAAACTCAAGCACTGGAATGAATAGCTGCAGATATAACTTGACCAATTCCCTAAGAACACTCAATTTCACTAGTAAGAAGTCCACTGTCCTTCTCTACACCACATTCACATTTCCTTTCGATACAAACTGTTGGATAAAATGTCGGCACTCCTAAGAACAAACTCAGAGCTAAGTTTTGCCACGTGTGCCTTAAGAGTTTTGCAAGACTGCCACTGACAAAGAAGAATTAAATGCTACTGTTTTGGAACAAACTAAACTGTCTAAATATTTAAACTGTGTCTAAGTGAGGACATGATTTACAGTCTTCTTCCTTTAAAAAGGACTTTCATTCTCTAGATTAGGAAAACAGACCATGGATATCACAGCTGCAGTGGCTATGGCCATCATTCATATTCTTACATATGCACTCACAGTGCACAGTTACATAGCTGAAGATTATTTCTGAAGTACTCACAGACAATTTTGAAGCTGTGCAGGCAGCATTAATGGTGAGATTCCCTGATTGCAATATTTATAATGTGGTCTTTTTGCATTACATCTAATGCAATTTAAGTCTATGCCACGGAAGTTATTATAATATGGTATTTCTTTAGGAGACCATCAAAAGAAAGTACAACATTTTTGTAAGATTTTGTATCAGTGCTTCTGGAAGACCCAATACTGCAGAGACCTTGTCAGTGTTAATTTTGTACGTTATGTAGTGACAGTGAGTTCTTTACAACATGAAGGGGTGAAATTCCCAAGATGATAATGACTTCCTTTAAAGTTGTGGAAAAGATAACAATATGGAAAGATTAAAAGAGGTCAGTAAAAGTTTAAGAACACTCCACTGCATACTTACACCATCTATACTCCTTCTAGCATGAGGTCCATATGTATCTTCAGACCCTAAAACCTGTATGTTAACTGCACTGTAATCTTCATACCCAAGCTGACTGAAAATAAGACGAGTCCTGCAACAAATGATTTTTTTTATTAGTAAGCTGCCTTGAAATGATTATCTGAAGTAGCCCTTTGTGGTCCACAGAAGTTAACTCTGTCAAGTAGTTGTATAAAAGATTTTATCAGTTGAAATACTGGAATTTTGTTAGGACATATTTTGCTTGGTGGAACATTTTGAAGACACTGTTAATGCATCATTGTTGTCATAAATATAACCACAGCACCTGATATAGTGAAGCAGTGTACAGAACATTAATACAAAATACAATTTTTTAATTGGTGTAAATAGCTGCAAAGGTGTTCATTCATTAAAAATGAAGCCACCTTTATTTTTGATGAGATAAAAAAAATTAAACAGAACACCTAATTTAAGGTAACTAAATTTACAAACTGTGTCTGTACTAAGTTATTTTAAATTAATTATCTAGAAACATTACAGTGACAGATACTACAGTTGAAAATACATTCTGTGGATCATTTTCAGCCCTTTCATGTGTTAGCAATGTAACAGAGAATCAGGAAAGTAAAAGGACACCAGAGATTATTTCAAAAAGACTTCTTCACACACGTATAGCCAAATCCCTTCTGTTTACACATGTATAGCCAAATCCCTTCTGCTTTCAATAATGAGTAAACAAGTAAAGGAGAAGTACACAAGAACGAAGCAAAATAAGTCATCTTACAACCTGCCAAAGCTGTTCAATGTCTTAGGCTAACAACTAATTTGACCTGTATAAATGAAGCACATTAAATTTGTGCGCCTTTTCCTGCACTTGCTGCCACGAGACTACCAGACAGAACTTAACCTAGGACAGAGTGGAAGCTGGATAGTTGGAAGATCACATCCTTAGACTATTCTCCTGAAAGAGAGAGACCCAGACAGACTCGATCAATGGCCTAGAGACAAATGCATGAAGTTCACTCAGGGAAAGTGCTGGGTCCTGCCCTTGGGTCACAGCAAGCGCAGGCAGCACCACAGTCTGGGCCACGGTGGCCTGAGAGCTGTTTGGAAAAGTCTCTTGGGTGCTGGCTGACAACAAGATGAACACGAGCCAGAGTGTGCCCAAGCAGCCAAGAAGGCCAGTGGATCCTGGCCTGGATCAGCAATGGTGTGGCCAGCAGGACCAGGGCAGTGACTGTCCCCCTGTACTCAGCACTGGTGAGGCCACACCTCAAATCCTGTGCTCAGTTCTGGGCCCCTCACTTTAGAAAGAGCATTGAGGTGCTGGAGCATGGCCATGGAAGGGCAATAAGGCTTGTGAAAGGTCTAGAAAACATGTCTTACAAGGAATGGCTGAGGGAGCTGGGGTTGTTTAGCCTGAAAAAGGCTATGCGTAAAAGGAAGGTGTACTGAGGATGAGGCCAACTCCTTCTACTCTGCCTGCAGTGACAGGACCAGAGGAAATGGCCTTAAGCTGAGACAGGGGAGATCCAGATTAGATATCAGAAAAAAAATTTACACTGTTCCAAGCTGTCAGGCACTGGAGTAGGTTTCCCAAGGAGGTCGCGAAGTAACCATTCCTGGAGGTGTTTAAGAAATGTCTGGATTTGGTGCTGGGTGATGTGATTTAGGGATAATTATGATGGAGCTGAGTTGATGGTTGGACTTGCTGATCTTAAAGGCCTCTTCCAGACTTGATGATTCTAACCGGTAAAAAAACTGATGTCAAAATTTCAGAATGAGTTACAGTTGCCGACAGAGCATCCTTTGAGAAGGATCAGAGTAGCTTAATTCTTATTCTCTATCTGGGCTGACATACACCAATCTTTTGATGTGTCAAAGAAACAATTCTACATATTAAGCTGTTTAGGACTACATTTGAATGCATATATTGTAATTTTCAAAACAGAGATCTTGCCCACAAGCATGCCTAATGGGCTAGAGGCCACTTCTCACACCAGTTTATCAGCCTTCAACTGCCTCATATCAGCTTTCCTCTGATGGTTACTCAAGAGAGCACAGTATACAGGCTGAATTAATTTTCTAGATATCAGAGATGGCAGGAGCACTACAGTCTGTTCAATGAGACAAAGATTCACATAATCCAGTCTGAAATAATATCCAAGAGCATACATGAAATGGAAAACACACCATTCTATTTTTTTCCTAAAATAATCATCTAGGTTCCAGAAAGATGGCTTTTCAGAGGTTTTGAGTCTTTGTCTTTACCACGTCCTGAAGGATTTTTCTACAATTTGATTTTCTCAGTAGCTCTTGGACAGGATCTTTTAGCATTTGCAATTACCCAGCCCCTATCAGCCTGCTCTTATCTGCCAAATCTCTTGAGGGAAATCAGACAACTCCTTCACCAAAGTGCTGCACACAGGCACATGAACACTCACTCCAAGTTCACAGTAAACCTTGGATTTCTGACTTTCCAAGTGTAGCTTCTGCATGGGTCTACAACACGATGGGGAGGAAGCTTTATATAAAACATGGCACAAGGAAATACTGGAATAAGCATGAGAGATTCCTGATATGGAATTATATTTAAGAGGAATTCCTCCTTGCCTGAATATACTGACATGACAATACAACTGAAAGTTTATCACTCTGTCTTGGAATTGTAACTCTGTCCTAGGGAAAAAGCCAAAAAACAATCACTGGGCCACATTTTAGAAAGCGTGTTTTAAACACAAACTCAGAAAACATCCTGTATATCAGTATGGTTTTTCATAAAGAAGTTGTGTGAAAGCTGCTGAAAACTAGTTTCACACGGGTTTACCCTCTGGTATCTAATAAAATGTAATCTCAACCACAGTTTGTTCCTCACTAAATTGGGTTTCTCTCCAGCCATCTATTTTCAAATGTATTTGGACTTTTCTTACTCTGTCAAATGTAACTGAAGTGCAGCTACATACTGAAAACAGGTTTCTTGAAAAGGCTACTTAAGTCTTGAAATGTCATCCCAATAGGAAAACTATCATCTTCTAGGATTCTTACAAGGTTAGTAATGTTGCCATCATGTGTCACTGTTCCATTTTCATCACATCTGGAAAAAAAGAAAGGCAAACCAGAACCCATTCCAAGACTCAAACACCAACCTTTGCAGAATAGCTTCTGCAGTGCGTTTTCCTTTTTGTACTGCCTTTGGGCCTCCCACTGGACAGACAGCAGTAGCTCTGAAGCCATCAAGATAAGTGGCATTTACCTAATGATAAAGGGATTATGAAGTTACATGGAATTCAGTACTGATAGGCTATAAATGCTCTCTGGCAATCATTATCTATACAAAAACACACTTTTTAAACAAAGTAACAACTTTTTGCATATAAAATAAGGTTTGCCTTTTCAGATTTACCACCTCTCTCTTTTACCCCTCGGGGCAGAGAAGATGAGGATAGTGCAAAGTTTTAGCACTGTCTCCAAAGTTCAAGGTTTTGTAAATCAATATATATTTTTCACGCCACAAAATGAGGTAATACCTTATAAAATGTTGAAGGAGGCAATCCTTTTGCTCCACAAACTTTCACTGCTCCACCATCAAAACCTATAGTGGTTAAAAATCAGTATTTCAGCTTCTTCAATATAACTTCAAAGACATTCTTTTGTGATACATATTAATCAAATGCACTTAATTAAAAAGCAAAGCATTGATAGCCGTACTGCCAGAGAAGAGAGAAGCTTTCAGAAAATAGTTCTTCCTGCCTTAGAAAGAACTGCAGCAAACTGGTGACTGAATTTATGTCTGCCATCAGCCTTTTAAAAGGGCAAATGAAATGTTTATTCATGCACTTAAAAAATACTTAACAAAGAAAGCAACCTTAGGACATTAGACTCAATAGTTACATTCCTCTTAATATCCAGTTATTGCACACACACACAGAGCCTACAATTTACTGCAGCTGGCTGGAGTGGACTGCAGTCCCTCACTTGGTAAAGAATCAAAGCAGGATGAGAAACCAGTGAGAGATATTGGCTGAGAGCTTAGTAAGTGAAGGGTAACTTTAACTTTCTTATCAGTAACAGAAACAGTCTGAATAGATCTTCCAGGGCAACAACCATGTTCAGTATTAGGAATATTAATACAAAAAAAAAAAAAGAAAAAGAAGGCAAAAAATTGTTGGGATGCCATCAGGTTCAAGCTTGAGCTGGAGAAAAATCAGTAGGTGCTACTCCTTGAAAACAGGCAGTGCAGGATTGGCTTCTCATGTTTTAGAGCCAGAATGATAGTGTAGTTCACCTGTGACTAACCTGTGTTTGCAAATATTTAAGAAGCAGTTCAAAGTCCTATACAAATACTCTGGAAAGATCAGATCAGAACATATCTAAAAAAGTAAATGTCACTAGTACGAATTTTACACACCACTCAAATAACATCATCACTGTGTCTCAAGACTGACATGAGGTTAATTTAACTCTCTCAATATACAGCTACATCCCTCCATTCAGGGTGAAGATCCGCAAGAGTTTTACGTTCTAGGTGAAAGCATAGTACAAGAAAACAAATACCACAAAACCAAATGCATAGCATCCACTGACAAAAAGAAAACAAGCACCTCTTAGCTCAAACCCTGCAAGTAATCCAGCAGGACAATAAAACTGGCAATATAAACAGCAAAATTAGATAGCTTGCCTCTTTTTACTGGTGTACGTGTCAAAGCACTTCAAACTAAAATATTTAAGCAATCTGCCCATTTTCCATCTGTTATATTTCTAAGAGGACTAACTGAAAGTTCATGTGAAAGTTCATTTTAAGTTCAAACATGTCATATCAGGTCATTTGCAAGCTAAAAGTTCATAGGAAGGTTAGGGATTCTTTTTTTAAAAAGAGAAAGACTAGGGGCTAAGAGCAGCAAGCTGGGCTTATCAGACTGCCGTTTGTTGCATGAGCAGAAGATTCACTGTACCATGTTATGGACTTTTTTACTCAAGCAAAATATTTTTTATGTTACTACATTTTCAGTTTTATCCCAGTAAGTTTTTAATTTGAGATTTTGATTGTTCTAAGCTTTAGAAAGACATTTGGCATTCTGTCACAAGTAACTTTAGAAGGAAAAAAATATAATATAGGTCCAGTAAAACTTCAGATGACTGTAGATAATTTTTTTTTTCAAGCTGTCTTACTCAAATTACAGCTCTCTGAATCTGTTAAGCCTGGGGTTTTTTTGTTTTCCTTTTGAAGCTATATTCTTAACATACATTATATCCATCTTTAGTCTACTGGCTGTTAAGTGTTTTAAGGACTGCAAATGGACTTTTTAAAAAAAGATTCTCTGATGGAAATCCTGTACCTAATCATTCTTCTCCCATGATCCACCTAAATGTCTAAGAAAAATGCCATTAACAAGTAGTCCTCTGAAAGACACAGCCTTTCATTGTTACCAACACTTCAAATGCCCTAACCATGTAGAAAACATTTTTTTGAGAAAAGAAATTTAGCTGCAGTTTAAGAAAATACTGAAATCATAATGAAGCTGTCTCAAAGCTGTTCACACTGAATACACAGTTTGAGGACTTGACAGGTGCAAGGCAGGCATTAAAAAGTAAAGCAAAGGGAGCACAATGGAAAATATAAAACAGTCAGCCAGCAAGGTAAATAAGATTATGCTTAAAATTTCTAAAGGAATTTTTAGCAGAAGTCCTTGAAAGTATCATTTTAATACAGCATGACTCTCAGGAACTGATTTAACAAGAAATATGCAGAGACTAAATAGAAATTAAAGTAGCTGCTTTTGTTTGATAACACACTTCATTGACACAGATATCATTACGTGAAAGAGGACTAACCTGGAATTTCAGTGATGGAAACCTGGGAAAAGTCACATGTAACATCTGGTAAAAGATAGCGCTGAGGATTGCCCAATTCATACACCAACTGCTCAGCTACAGTGCCAAAAGAGACTAGTCCCCCTGTGTCTGGTGGTTTGGAAAGAATAAAGTCTCCTTCAGAGGAACATTCTACAATGGGAAAGCCTATGTTGTGCCTAGAATATGAAAAACATTAAGAAAAAAGCCTTATAAATATGAAGGGAAAGTGAAAAGAAGTATTAACACACCAGAATTTCATCACAGTAATGGCCAATCAAGTAAAATGTGTCAAGAGTTACAATTTATATGGCTGTTTCTACAGGAACACAGACTAAAAATCAAGCCCTGAACAAAGTGCTCAACTGAAATACGAGGATGTAGTCTATTGTCTAGCAAAGAAACAGATATAACAAGAGATAATACCTGCAAACATGGATGTAGGGAAGGGAATGGAGAAGGACAATAACAGAAACAATTCAAGAAAAAAGAAGCTTAAAGAATTAGATGCAAAGATGTAAATTTAGAGTAAAATAAACCATGGTTAATTGTAGCCCAATTTGGCTACAGCAGCACACACAGCATGACAGTGAAGACATCTACATACACCTTGCACTCTGGATTTGTAAAAAGGCAGTCAAAGCAGGAAGAATAAACTGCTGGGAACCTCAGAGATGAAGGGAACTAGGAAACAGAAATAATCACACCTACAAAGGGTAATTTCACATGTTTAATTATTAATTATACACAGGAAAGTAATCTGAAAACAGCAAGACATATGAAAGTAAAGATCTTCAGCACACAGAAGACAGAACTAACAGAAAATTACAAGGCACAGCAAAAGAAAAGCAGTGAAATTATGAACATGTTCGTAAGTTAAAATATCCTTCCTCCTCCTCACATTCTCACAAGCAAAATATACAAAAAGTGATCAAATAACTCATAATAAGAGGCACATACTGGTCATTACAGTAGCAGGGCAGAGTTTTCAGGATTAGGCGGACAAAATCCAGACATCTGCTTTTCTAGCTAAAAGGCTTTCATTTATTTACAGAGAATTTGAGTGAAATTAAGAACTTCAAACTTTTCAGAAGTACCAAAGAATTAAAATTAAGAGTGCAAAGATTCTTCTGAAAAGTCTACCTGGCTCCCTTCCCTCTCAGAGGAAGCCTGAAATGTGTACAAGTGTCCCACAACACAAAATGAACACAAAAAGAGGAGTTCAGGAGATACAGTTCCTTGCAAAAGCTAAACCATTCTAAAAAAGTCCTAATAATGAAAGGTGGTGAACTTTACCATGCTCATTAAAGTCAATGACCTTCAGGTCTTTCATACAAACTTAAAACCAGTCTATCCCTCAATTTAATTATTTTTGGGTGGTAGTGGTAACAATGTGCTGAACATACAACTGAACTGGTTATCAGCAAAGGTTACATGAATACAGTTTGTATAACATAAATCCACAGCGTCTGAAAGAAAGTAAGCAAAAATACCAGTGAACTCTTAGGGGACATTTGTAAAAGTTCATGGGAGTTTGAGCAGATTCCTTATCATTGAGAATATTCAAACATAACTCCATTATTTTAAAAAAAGGATTAAGACATAAGATCTGTTACCAGAGATCAGCAACTTTTAACACATACAGCAAACAAATTTGAAAAGTATGGTAGCTGGTGGACACCTAGAAAAGTCCACATCAAATCAGTTACGGTAATACTTCATTTGACTGATCTTTGAAACTATTTACACCACTAAAAATACAGGAAATAAAAATAGACTGCCCTGGTGAATGCAAAGAATTGAATGGAATCAACAATTTCATATACAGGCTATTCTAGTGGGGGGGGGTTTAAGGGGAAAAGGAGAGAGAAAAGATGGTAGTAGAAGTATGCAATATTCAAAAATTTGAAGTGTGACACAGAAAAAACACAATACCCAAAAAAGCCCTCAATCCTTGGTCTGGAACATTAACTTATGGTAACAGACTAATGTGTAATTATCCACATTTTAGATGCAAGGAGACACACAGAGGAAGCATCATGATTTGGCCAGGGTAACAAATCAGTGACTGAACAAGACTAGAATTAAGCAGCTTTTGCCCTCTCAGTTCCTTGTTTGTGTGCTTGACTCTACCACCTATCTGTCCTGTCTCAATGCCACAGCACCAGGTGCCCTGCTAGCAGGCTCAGTGCAGCTCATTCAGACCCGGCACCCAGAAGAGACACCACTCACATGAACACACATCACCCAGAGCAGTCCATCCTCCTGCACTGACAGCAGTGTCCCTGGATCTCAGTCATCAGCACATGCAACTCTTGCAGTACTCTCCAGCAATCTTTGTTTTGAAGGAAGAAGTAAACTGTAGACACTCAACTTCCTACTCTGAACCACTGAGCCTATTAACATTGATTCAACCTCATTTTGCCCAGCTTGCACTCTCAGAACTCCCAAACCATTAAAAAACAAGACTCAAATGTAATAATGAGACAAAGTGAGAAATTTAATCCCCTAATATGATCGAAATACAGCAGATACTGTTCCCCCCTTCAGGGTACACCACCACCCAATGAACTTTTCTGTATGACAAGCTAGTTGCAGAAGATGTGTGCTCCCCCAGGTTATGCCAGTCCTGAAAGCTTCACTCACTTTTTTAACAATTCACAACATGGAGATGCAATGATCTGAGTAAGAAGCAACAGGATTCTACCTGTACTGCAACTGGATGACTGGGAAAATACAAATACCCAGTACTATCTTGTAGCAGACGGCAGTAATAACCCACATTAACATATACACGCTTAAGACAAAAATGTGTTTTGTAAATTGCTAAAAAACATTACTTGAAATTAATTTTCACATTGGAAACAAACTGGTCTGTCACTCCTAAGATACAGTCAAATGACAGCTACTTAAATCAGGCATAAAAAGCTCTTTAGCAGCAGCAGCTGCCTGGCTCAGGTATACCATAGGCAGTATAGTCACACCATCACCCTGACCACCACTTTTAAAATAGTGACTCTTTGCCTGATTAACTTGTAGGTTTTGCTGAATGACTACACACCATATGACGTCTGCTCTGTGGGAAACATGCCACCTTTAGGCTGTCCATAACCCATAGCCAAGCTGTACTTTTATATAGTGTAGCAGGGGAGTAAGCACAGAACAATGAACTCCTGCAGCAACTATGGTCATGGCATCCAAAGGTACCTTGGCTAAGTGGCATCCTTCAATAAAAGAATTGCATCAGTTTAGTGACAAAATCCCTATGTAGAATGAGGCAGTAGCAAGCAATGGAAACAATTCCAGAAGGGAACTAATACAATTCATTCTAATTAAATTACATAAATTAATAAAATATGTAAAATACAATAAAATATATAAATTAATAAAATACTAGAGATAACTATCAAGTAGTATTTTTAAAATATTTAAGCAGTTCTTTTAGCACAGGGTCAACAGACACAAGTAATACACATCAGTTTGTGAGGGGAGATGACAGCTACCATTCTTTAATCCAAAAGGTCCATTTCAGGTTGCATGTTTGCTGCTTAGCAAGTAAATATATTATATATAATATAGACATTAATAAACCAGAGCACTGAATGAGACCAAGCTAAGGTTCCACCTCAGAAAACCCCTCCAAACTGGGCCTAGACAGGAGTTAACAGTTAAAGCAGGTTTTAGTGAAGACCTACAGCACAGGAATAACCAAGTTACAAAACTACTTTTGCTGCTGAAGCCTCCATCTCATCAAACTACTCTTATAGCAATCAAGAATCTGAGTTTTCTGTCAAGTTCTCTGCCTGCCAACAACTTACTCTTGGATTAATTTTTTCCATGTAAAATGTAATTTTTTCTTCAGCTTTGGCTCTCAGAAATGTTACAGTTTATGGGCATGTCACAGGCGATAAATTAAGCTGTCTAAGCAAGGATCTCCTCCCTGTCTATTCTGGGACACTACTCAGAAGTCTCTGAGGAGTCATCAAGATAAACTTCCTCCCTGTTTTGCCACACTTCTTACACCATTTGATTACAGGGAAAGTAAAATCCATGACCAGTACTTTGGCTCAGGGAGAGAGACATTACTTGAGACAGAACACGTATTTCTCCCTTCAAAAGTGTCAAATCCCTCAAGTACCTCATTCCAGCCACTACTGCTCAATGGAGATGACTGGCAACAGGAGCTGGGACAGCGAGTGTAGCACATTTACTTGGGGAAGCTGCTGCAAGAATGAAAACAAAACCCCACAGCAATGCATGGTGGAAGTGAACCTGGATCCAAGTTATGATGTGGTGTGAACTTTTAGCTTTACAGCTAATGCAGTGGCCTGGGACGTGACTCAGTGAATGTCACACCAAGCAGAGCTCTGAGCCAAGCTTCTCAACTCCTTAGGTATACATCTTAACCAGAATGCTACTAGGGAAAAAGCAGAAGCTCCTACCACTTCTAGCAGCGTTTTGACAACAGATTCAAAACTGATAATACACCAGGCAAGATCAGCACAAACTTACAAAGTAAAGGTATAAGCATCTCTTCACGTGTAGGTACCAAAATGTTTCCTAACATGCAATTCTGCTTTAGGCAAGACTTATTAATTGCATCACTTATCCCCTCTGACAAGGGCATTTCTGACTATGTCTTGTACCTCCACTTCTAATGGCCAGACAATTTCAGGCTAAACAGACCAGCTGCCTGGAATAGAGGGTGCTACAGAGAAAAAAAAAACATTCCACACTGCTGAATGGGACTTGCATGCTGGATTTTGTTCTAGTCCCAAATTAAGAAATCTGGATCCAGCCCTTAAGAGTCTACAGCTATTGACTTACCCTTTTGGTCATCCCAGGCCAGAGGATTATGCAGTCTCAACCAATGTACACTCTTGGCTTAGGGCAAAATGTCAGTGTTTATCATCTCCTCAAAATGATTATCTACTGATCAGCCTTAGTTTATTCTCTCCTGCATTTCAAAACAAAACAAAACAATGTACTAATCACCCACTGGCACTAAATAACAGCAAGAGACAGCAATGTCTGGGGACAAATTAAATTAAATAGAGAGCTGTGAATTATCAGTGTAGTTCTGGCAGTACAGTTCATTTTCACACATGGCATGAATTCCCTGTTGGAAGCTGTAGACAACGTAATGTAATGTCAGCTCATAGACAATAAACAGGCAACAGTGATCTATTATCACTTCTGCTGACCCTCTGCTGATGGGCATTACTAGACAAATAACAAAAATGGAATAAGTGCCTTTTTTCATAACACTAACTTAAAATCAGAATTTAAGAATGCACATTACCCTTTCTATAGACTATGAACTAATGGCTTCTTGCACTCTCTGCTAAACATCAGAGAATCCACACAGGAGTCAAGCACCCACCTTCTCACTGGAAAAATAAACAGCACCTGTCCCCTCTACCTGTCTGTCTTCATGAAAACTGGACAAAACCTTACAGCTTCAAGATTCCCACCTGTAAGTCAAATGCACTAAGGAGATACAGCACAAATCCCAGTGCCTCAGATGAACACAAAGAAAGCAAGTAAGTTCGGCTTCTACCAACTAAAGTAACTTGGAGAGTCACAAGCTGGAACATGCACGTCACTTGTTTCACATTATAAACTTACTTTAAGGAGACAACAAAGGAAATGAAAGAATAGCTTAGGTTTCAATAATTATTAAATGCCCAAACAAATATTCCTGAGATTCTTTTGCAGTGGAATTGATACAGAAGTATCTGCATCAAACATTTCAAGAAAATTAAAACCAAACAAACAAACCCCCCACATCAAAAACCCACCAACTAAACTATACTGGATGAATGAAGTGGATTCAATCCAGTGTCTCAATACTCACTGAGACATGACAGCAAATGCACAGAATGTAAGCTCTAACTTTACTGGCTTCATTTAGATTAACTAAAGTACTCTTGATTTATAAACCTGAAGTGTAGCAAATTATTTGGGTTTTGTTTACAAGTTAGAAAAAACCATACCTCTTCTGTCCTTCTTAGACAGAAGAGCCACATGGATTACTGTCCTTGGAGAGAAAAAAAAACCCCAGACAGTCAAATATTGGAGGCTAATGAAGCTCACCCTCTGCAGTAAGGAGTGAGGAGGAGAGAGGCTGCCCTCCAGCGTTCAGTTACCACACACCACAGTAAGTGCAAGGGATGGGTTTTCTGCTCTTGGGCTGCACAAATGCACTCATGGAGCGGGAAACTCCTATGTGAAAGGCACATTAATGATAAACACAGATTTAACTTGGCTTCTTCCCCCTCATATTTACTAATTTAATTGAGATGATTTGGATTTAACATTAGGTACCACAGACACAATGATTTATTGACATCTAAATTATTTTCATGAGACTGCTAAAAATGTATTTTTTTCTAAAGGAGGGAGAAATCATTAATAGACACAGTCAATTAACTTCTGCAAACTCTGCCAGACCTCTGTTAACCTAATTGCAATATAGCTAGTTAGTGGCTGCAGGCATGGCATGTTTTGGTCACTGCTGAGACTGAGATACCATGTTATTATTGTATATTATTATGAATGCATTATCTACATGCACTGAAAAGAGATTCAGACTGTATAAACAACAAAAACCCTATGCCACCAAATTTCTCTAAACTCAGGGGAGAACAGGTTACTACTAAACTATTAAATGGAAAACACATTTTTCTGCATCCCAAGAGTTTTGATAATATTTGCCCTCCATGCTTTTGGGCCTAAATACAGCAAGCTACAATCTATCAGGAAACCAATTTGTACCAATAATCTTCTCCCTGCCTTCCCTCTCATATTCTAAGTGGATGTAGTGGACCACAATTCCCTTTCAATTACTGAAGTGGATCTCCACTCTACATCACAAAACTTAAAATCAAAGCTCATACATTATTCTGGTTTTGACTGGTTTTAGCAGCTTATCATACAGGCTGATGTGTCACAGTATTTTACTTCAAGAATTTGATTAATTACACATCTAAGACTCAAAAGTTGCTCACAAACTGACTCAACAAACCGACTAGTTTTAAGGCACCATAATCAATTCTTCAGCAGACTTTAAGTGAAGATAAATAAATAACTGTTATAGTAGCACAAATACAGTCATGCACAGTTTCTGGGTATGTATGCACAAAGTAACAGAGCAGTATCAGGTGTTAAACCTCTATGTTCTTTAACGGAGATTCAATTCAGCACCAGTCAGCTCTAAACCACAAGTCCACTATGATTTTAGACAAAGTTCTGTGATTTTTACAGATACAAAACTATTAGCTATGCATATTTGTGTACTTAAACTCTTCTGTAAAATGAGCTATTCCCACTCCAATAGCTTACAATAGCTTCATATATTCAAGCTGCCTTTCTTTTTTAAAGCCAGATTGACACTTCTCACAGAAAAATCCTTAAAGACCTATCAAACATTTTAATAAGAAAATTAGTGTTCTGTTTTTTCACTTCAATTCTTTTATGAAGCAAGGTCTTCTGGAATCACAGTTACAGAAGACTTTAAGAAGGTTCATGATGCAACATAATTAAATTATTGGGAGAGACATCAGAATAGGAATTATGTATTTCCAAAGCAAACTTGTTACTATAAACTCTCGCCTTTGATTTCCCATAACATACAACAGTGAAGAGTGAGTGCATTTTGTTCAGCAGCCTTCCAGTGGGGAGAAGAAATGCCCAATCCTGTTTGTTCTCAATACCATACATGCATTTACCTTTAATCAGCAGTGCTCAGGAACTCAGAAAAGCAGCACACATCTTTTAGGATCACACTCTGAATCACAACCAGTCACTACAAGGAGAAGAAGAAATCCAGGCAGGCCTATGGCTCTTCAGACAGCAGGGCACAGTCCTGCTGGGTCACTCACCTGGACCAGAGTCAGCCTGGGAGCAGGAACACTCTATATTAAAGCACTCTTCTCTCCTGCACCTCCCTGCTGCTCCTCAGCCCTTTCCTCCATCATATAAAAGAAGACCTGCCTTTCTCATCATACAGCACAGGACAAGATTCCTCCCTCTCATCCCAATAAACACAGAAGTAACTGCAGCCATAACTACGCAGAAAACGTGTTCCCTAACTACTTTTAAACTACTCTTATCAACAGGGTGGTAGAAAGCAGGCTCCCTCAGCAGGCAGAACGACACATGTACATGTAACTCTAATTCAGCAGCTCTGAACAGAAGACACACAGAACTTTCTGGAAGGACTGACCATCCAACACATTTGTGTTCATCAGGTTATTCAGCAGGACAGAACTACAGCATATATTCATCCCTACCAAAGCAAATTATGTGAAATTTTTGACAGACCAGCAAGCATCTCTGATCTAACTGAAGACTACTGTAACAGCATCCAAACCATCAATATTGTCTTTTCCAATAAAATCATAGTCAATAACATATCTTTTCAAAAAGCAGAGGATACTGAAGGAAACAGGAAAAAACAGTTTTAAGGGGAAAAAAATAATTAAAGGGCTAATTTGGCTTTCAAAATCTGCTAAAGTTAACAAAAGAAAGACACTGTCTGACCAAAAAGGAAAACGTGAAAAGGGAAAACAGAACTTGTAGAAAAGTAATGCTGAGGTGGCAAAATATCAGGAGGCCCATATTGTGTCCCCAAAAAGAGAAAGGTAGAAGCAGTTTTCGTAACAAAGACACAGGCAGAAAACCTCATCTTTGGTCCACTACAAACAAGCATGCTGGTATCAGGTTCACCTACCAGTCTGGTACTGTGTGCCAATCAGTGAATATTCCACCTGTACACTGAGCACCACATTCAATGAGATGACCTGCAAGACTGGGAAAATGGCGTTAAAAGTAACTGAGTAAAATGCAAAATCAATTTATACAAATCCAGCTTTAAAATACAGTGGAAATATAGCTAAATAACAAAATGTGCTGTTTTCCTTCACAAGTATGTAATACAATTAAAAATTATACATTAAGCATAACAAGGAATCCCGAAAGATGAATAGAGTGTTTAAAGGACAAACTTATACAAGAAGAATTTTCCTACAAAAAAATTAATACCTAGAAGATTACCTCACACCTAAAGCCAAGTTTTCTTAGTAATTTTAGTAATTCAGTATTTTAGTAGTCTGAGCTGTGTATAACTAAATAGACAAAGACCATTTTTAAATGAAGAGACAGAAAATCTCACCTCCATGTATTATGATTACCTATTACTATTTTCATATTTGATTGTGATCGTCTATAACAATTCAACAGAATTATGGGGAAATCTTCATCTCTATCATCCCTAATTCAGTGGAGCCTGAATGAATTTCTTTCCACATTTTTCCACAAGCAGAGGTTCAAAAACACTAACACTAGAGTGTGCTCAGGCTAAGTAATCACTCTTTTATGAATGATTACTTAGATACATGATGCACAATGCTAAATTAGGTGGCATAATTCTACCCCTTTCTGAATCAGATTCCTAGCCTTAAGCCTACAACAAGGACTTGTAAATGGGAGCACTGACACTGAGCTTCAACAAAACCATACCAGGATGCTGCCTTCTGACCAAACCTGCTTTTGTGCATCTTTCAGAGTGAGCCCTCCAACCACCCCACCTGCCAACAGCAGCAGCCAAACAGAAAAACCTGGGAATCAGTGGCCTGTACTATAAGACTTCATCTCTTGACAGAAAATTAACAGCAAGAAAAAGTTAAGCTGTTAAATAAAATCTTTCAACCCTTTCTCCAGGCTCCAGAATGAAGTTTCTATAATTTCAATTCCAAGTGAGAATAGTAAGTGAGCCTTGAAAAAGAACTCAAAACCTAATTAAAACATGCCAATAAATTAATGCAATGATAATATGAAAAATTAGGATGTGCTGAAAAAATTGGTACCTTGACATTATTATATGAAATATACATTTACCCCATTTCTTCTTATATCATTTACCTTCCCGCAGCCAGCAAGTCATAGTCATCCCTATTCCAGCCAAACTAGAAGAAAAACACAAATATTTCACATGCACAGAAGTTTCATACAGTACAAAAAACTGCACAATGTGTATTTGTTGCTTTGAATAACAATGCATTGGATATATTTTTAAATCTAAATAACAATAATCGGCAGGAAGTGTACATGGATTTGAGTTCCTAGACAGCAAATTAGCAAAAAACTTCTGACACACTGCAGTTCTCCTCCTATTGACACACTCCAACAAATTCAAAGTCTGAAAGTCATACCCACCTCAAAAAAAACTGGAAGTGCAACATCCATATTAGTTAAAACTGCACAACACACAGGTTTAAAAGTATAGTACCTATCTTGTGTCACCTGGACAAACCTCTATGTGTCTTCAACTTTTGAAAACTGTCAGTTCCTGGAGTACTACCAGTCACCCTCAAAAACTGGAAGCATGCTTTCTGTTTAACTGGAAATTTTAGATAGAATCTTTTCCCTGAGTTCAACCTGTAAGCAATACAGTAACTCTTTCTTTAGCACTTTGCAGACATCTTCCTAAAACCTTCCCCAAATAAATTAGGTAAGGTCTCTCTGGAGTAGGTAATGCACACTGACATTTGTTATTTTGAGAATGTAAACAACTAGGAATAAAATAACAAGTCATAATGGAAATTATAAATGGAAAATTAATCAGGCAATGTTTGACATGCACGAAGTCAAAAGAGTATAACGTCTTAGAAAGTACGTGTTTAACTAGACACATAACCTATTTTTCTAAATATGCACCAAAAGAAAGCTTCTGTATTTGATCATGTGTGATCCTTCACAAGAATTCATGAAAACCTATTAAAAATACTTCAGAAAACTACATACCATGGTTGTATATTTTTTTGAATTTCAAGGAATTTCAGAAATGCTGCATTGAAACTTGACTACTTTAAACAAAACTGCTTACACACTGAACAAAAAAACCCAAGTGTTTTGAACTACCTCACATGCTAACCCCCAACCAGAGTGAGCTCTACTATTGACACTTTGTAGTAAAGAAAAATATATTTGCACACCAAACTTTGCAGAAAGGCAAGGGAAAAAACTGCAGAACAAATGGTAAGAGTGAAATACTGCTGAAAAAGGCTAAGACTTCCTAAATTTTACCCAAGCTTTCCAGCTTAATGGTATACAAGTTAACAAATATGCCTGCTATCAGTTTAGAAGTGGAAGCTGACAACTCTTCATGCACGTAAGAAAAAAAATAGAGATGCTCATTATTTTTCATTTAGTATCTACATTTTCATAATGGACAAAAATTGTCCGATGATGACCGTTGAATATTCGCTCTCATATATTCATTAGCATTTGGAAATTTACATTTACTTACAGAATGAATGAGTGGGCCTAGAACAATCCCGCTGTCAACACATCTGCCAGTCACAACAATATCAGCTCCAAGGTCTAGAGCTCTGCTTATTGGTCTTGCACTGAAAATGATAAAACACAGCAGTAAGTACTTTCATCTTTCAAAGCATCATTTAAAAAACAGTTCCCTGACACACACAGGTTAAAAATCACTTAAAAAATGCATAGAAATCAATTTAAAAAACTACTTCCACAACCAATTTGTCATTAGGGATGTACATCAAGAGTATTTTAAAGAGCAGTCATCAGGGCACTATCAAATTCAGGTACCTAAATAACATAACTGGAACACTTCTCTTAATGTCCATAGAAACTTCCTTGAATAAAGTGCAGAGTGGGACATTTCTATCATCAATCACAGAAAAGAGTGTTTTTCAGAGGTTCATTAAATATTTAATTTTTAGATGAGTGTATAAAGATGAACATTCTTCAGGGATAAAGCCTGGTGACTTAGCCCTCCAATTTTAAACCTATCAGGTCAGTCATCTAAGTGATTTACACACCTGCAATATTGTCTAACTTCCAGAGCACTGTGCAAGAACAGGATCATCAACTGAAGAGATGCATGTGACCACTGTCCCATTTCTTGGTCCTTTCCCTTTACTAGACCTGATTAACACTGATTCGTCTGAAGTGGATGGTGACAATGAAAATGCAACTTCACAAAGAGGTAGCTGGAACACCTGCCACTCACAGACTTACGAAAACCCTAAGCATCATAAAGGAGGGAAGGGAGATCTTTCAAAACAAGTGACCATCCTGAAAAACTGGTTTCCAAAATTTCAAGAGTACAAAGCCTGACACAGAGTCGAGCGCAAGGGAACCTCCTACAGCACTGACTACATCCCAGTACTTGAGTTCCCTGTTTGCACTTCTCTAGTGACAACACAGTAAACTACTCCATTCTGCAACAGAATAATCAGCATATGAAAAATCATTTTTGCAATTGTTATAATTGAACTAACACTGTTTTCGCTTCAACTAAAACCTGATGATTCACAGATGGTGTATTGCTAAGAAGTCATAACTTACAAGGTTATAACTATAACTTACTTACAATTACAAACAAGTATTTTTCTGGTTGCCTGAATAATTCAAAGGTGAACCTCATCTGTTTTGCAAAGCAAAACAAATTCCTGTATTCAGTGTGTTAAAATTCGTTGTTCATAATAATGACACCTTGCTAAAATAACTCACCCAAGATACACACTCATGCTGTGAATATTCTCTGGAAATTGTTTGCCACTCTCTAGATCAGTGATACCAGCTCCTTTTAAGTTCTCTTTCTGTTAGAAAACAAGCAGAATACACAAGCAATGAGTATTTTGAAGTTTCTACTGTAAGCCTCTCATTAGTATCAAACAATAGATCCACTTCATAGCAACTCTAAGCCAAGTATAATTATTAAAAGTATTACCAATACCCATCAGTTGAATGGCTAAAAGCCTTAGATACTAAGACTTTTAACCACAACTTTTCCAGCATACAGAAAATTAAGGTAGTCTTTAAAAAATGTAATGTTCATTTATATATGACCAACAACAAGGAACTGGTGCACTTCCTAGGCTTCAAACGGTCTGTAACTGCTGTAGGACTAAATAAATCAAATTCTGCCATCAGAAATGTGTCTGTCACATCTGCAATGGTGTCATGGCCAGAGAACAAGGTTAATCCTGCAGCTTCGTATGGTACTTAGAATAAACTGTGTTTCCAGAAAAGTAGGGGTGAGGGGAGGGTGTGTTTTTGACCATGAATTAGGCATTAGCTTGGCAATTCAGTGGATTAAGGGGACAGTGAATGCATAGACACAACATCCATGTAAACTGTAAATACTAATTTACAGGTGGGATCTGTAGTGTGGGGAAAAAAGCCAAACTTCCACTCTGAACTAATTTGGTATTCTAAATTAATGACTGAAATCCTCCAAACCACAAGTAACATTGACCATGTTTCATGTACCAACAGTAGAAGTTGTCTGTAGACCATAAAAGCTGTGTCTTTTTGTTCCTGTAGGTCATGTACTGGCAACAGCATGGAAAACAGCGCATTTCAGATCAGACATGTCCATAACAAGCTCAAATAACACTCACTGTTGTACCAGTAATGAAATTCTGGCCCACAGACAGTAATTTCAGCAGGGCAGAAGTTTCTTAAAAAGAAGTCCAAGCACCACACATAACTTGCAAATAAAGAATCTCACTTGACGATCTTCCACATTCAAGTGCATGCAAGAGGTAACAGATCCTATGCAGATAAATAATTTTCCAAGTACAGGCAGAGATTTTACCACAGTGCAAACCTCTCCTCTCAACTACTATTGTGTACAAACTCTTTTCCCAGTAGCTTTTCAGGTATGGCCAACATTTTTTTTCCAGATTTCATAAAGTGTAATTATCTAAGTAAAAAAAAAAAAAATCCCATGTATTTAATCTTTCTGGGGTTTTTTTTTTTGTTTTGTTTTGTTTTGTTTTGGTGTTTTTTGATATTTAAACTTCAATCCTCTTACTTAACATTACCTTACTGGCTCTAAACTAATTACTTAAAACCAGAAAATCAGCTATCTATAAACAAACTAACATCAGGAAATGCCTGTAAACCACTAAAAAGCTAGAAGGGATAAACATTTGAATGTGTGGTAGCTATACCATATTCAGAAGTATTAACAGGCATAATTACCTAGTTTAGACAGAAGCAATAAATAGCAGCATGTAATAGCTTCTCCTGAAGAGCAGGCAGACCTTACAGCAGATTCACATTTTGCTTCAAAAAGCTAAACAGAAGATCCACAAGTTTATAAAATTTGCCCCCACTATATACCAAACAACAGATGTGCCAAGAATTATATTTATGCATTAAAAAACCTGAAAGATAATGAAGAACAACACTTCTGATAGTAGAAGACTACTGCATAGACACACAAGGCTCCTATGGGACAGTAAATGCCACCTTCAATGCTATACAGACTTGTGCTATGGCTTAAAACAAAGAGAAATACCTCACTCATCAGATCATCTCCAGCAACAACAGCTATTTTCAAATCAACATCTGCTTTCTTTGCCACCTCCTGAAGGGCAGCTGCACAAGCAAGCGGATTAACTCCACCAGCATTACTGATGACACGAACACCTAACAGAAAAAAAAAAAAAGGCAAATAAAGTTCAGCGGCATCAATAATCAATCACCTGTGCTTTAAAAAGTGTGCTGGAACACAAGCAAGGTATCGTCTTCGCAAGACAATAGACATTCAGTCAAGCAAAATACAAAAAACACATTAAAACAAGAACCACATTTAACCTGTGAAAGGATCAGAATAAGCCAGTACAAAATTGTTTAGAGAACAATAACTGCTGTAGATACATTTCATCTATCCTTTATGAATGGAAGAAGAAAGTGACCAGAAAGAGACATACAATGAGGCAGACAGCACCAAACACCTCCGACAGGAACAGTAACAGACACTGTGAAGCTTTACTAATGTAAACAACAACAACAAAAAAAGACTGGAAAATCATATTGTAGAACTATGTGGGAATTCTGGAAAATTTAAATTACCTTGAAAATATCTAGATCTCCCATTTTGAAAAATATCTGTAAAGCAACCTGCCATTCACAAACTGAAGCTATAGTAAGAAACACATGGAAATACACGTATGTATTTACAATTGTAACAAATAACTCAACCCAATTTCACCATCAGACCTGTATCCCACATCAATCAGAATGGCATTTTTCATAGAATTCTAGAATAGTTTGGATTAAAAGGACCTTAGAGATCACCTAGTTCCAAGTCCCCTGCTATGGGCAAGGTTAGTCAGGGCTCCATCCATCCTGGCCTTGAACACTTCCGGGGATGGGGCACTCACAACTTCTCCGGACAACCTGCTCCAGTGCCTCGCCACCCCCACAGTAAAGAACTTCTTCCTAGCATCCAATCTAAATCTACCCCATTCCCCCTTCTTCTATCACTACATATCCTTGTAAGAAGTCCAACTCTCTCGCAAACCCCCTATAGGTACTGCAAGGTGCTGTTAGATCTTCCCAGAGCCTTCTCTTCTCCAGCCTGAAGAGCCCCAACTCTGTCAGCCTGCTTTCATAAGCAGGTGTACAGCATTAACATACAAACTCATGCAAGGAGTAGCATACCTTTCCTGTGAATATCTTTTATATAGGGAGCCATGGCAGTGGAGACAAAATCCGGAGTGTAACCTAAAACCTGAAATAATTAAGAGCTGTAACCATTTCTTATAGGTAGGTCTACCCAACCCCTCTCCTTGGTTAACACAGAAGAACTACCTCTCAACTAATGCCATCGTTCGGGTAACGCGATGGGGAACGACATGAACACTTTCACTAGATGAAACTGAACAGATCAAATAAACAAATGCGAATAGAAAGTATACTTAAGAAACCGTATCCCCGTAACCCGGTATGTCTTAAACAGGTTTCGGGCGCGATTTGGGCTGAAGGAGAGCTCGGGAGGTCGCAAAGTACCGGAGCGCACCCGCCCCGGCCAAGCCCAGCACGCTGGGGCCGGACACCGGCTCTACTTACGGGAGACCGGGCCCTGGCGGCCGTCAGCAGCGACATGGTGATCTCGGAGAGGTAATCGAAGACGAGGAAATCCAGCTTCCCTCCGTACAGCAGCTGCGGCACTGGCGAAGAAGGCACCATCAGCTCGGGGCACCCCCGCCCGCCCCTACCCCAAGTGCCGGCCCCGCCCGGGCGAGCGGCGGCGGCCCCGGCCCGGCCGCTTGCGC